ATTTCTACCGCCATGGCATAGCGCCTACCAACCGATAATTCGGTGCCCCTTTTGCGAGGTGGTGTGCTGGGGGGCGATTCCATCGCTAGAGTGAGTAGTGGGCCGGTAGGGTACTAATATCAGATGGTTTTGAGATTTTTTTCGAGAATTCTCAAAGACAATCCCATAATATTTTCTCGAAAATATTCCCAAAACAGGCCAAAATACAATAGGGTATATTTTGACCGATATTAGGTACAGAGATAGATGTTCGTTTTTTTATTTTATTTTTTCTATCGCTTCTTCTTTGGTATATCTTTCTTACAAACCCGACTATGCTACCATCACTAACACGGTTGCACCCAGACAATCTATTGCATGTAGGTACCCTAACTTATGATACAGAGGAAGTATGTCACTTGGACGCATCCCCGGGAGGCGTTATTTTTGTTGTTTTTTGGGCAGCAAACTACACGCACGCACGCAAGAACCACGACGCACTGCCGTGCTGCACACACTGCTGCTGCTACTGGCAAGACACGCACTACACCGAGGCAGGGAACATGGACAAGGGGGGCGGGACACACACACATACAGCTGTTAGCGACGGCGGAGGAAGCGGGGAACGTTTGGTTGGTCTGGGGTTCATTCATCGCTGATGATGTTGTTGTTGTTGTTTCCGTTGTTTGTTGTTGTTGTTCAACGCTGCCGGCCTTTTTTTCGCCTTTTTTTCTCTGGAGAGAGAGGGAGTCCCACCAACCAGCGTGTGTTGCACACACCACACAGCGAGAGCGGGACGGGAGCAGGGTGTGCCCTATACTACTGCTGCTGCTAGCTTTCGGCGGAGGAAGCGAGAGGAGAGATATTGATTGGGTCTCTGTGGGTCCATCGGTTGGTTGTTGTTATTGTGTTGCGACGCGGCGGGAGGGAGCGGCCTCTGACTCTGCTCTGGAGATAGGCACACATACATCACAGCACGGAACCAGTAACACATAACGCTCGTTCCTAGACGATGTAGTACCACTGCTGTGCTGTGCACCTCTCTACACTCATTGTGGGCGAGAGGGTGTGTCGCCTCTGCTGCTGCTGCTGTTGCTGTTATCTGAAGCGGTGGCGGAGGAAGCGTCCTGTTCAAACAAACAACAGCAGCAGCAGCAGCAGCAGCAGCAGCCGCGGAATTTTTCAACGTTTTTTTTTTCTCTCTAGCTGGTGATGATGGATAGCACCCCCCTCTCACGGCTGACGATGGAAACCACCCCCCTCGCCAGCTGATGATGATGGACACCACCCCCCCTCTAGGGAATGATGATTGATACCACCCCCCTCTCTAGCTGGTGATGATGGATAGCACCCCCCTCTCACGGCTGACGATGGAAACCACCCCCCTCGCCAGCTGATGATGATGGACACCACCCCCCCTCTAGGGAATGATGATTGATACCACCCCCCTCTCTAGCTGGTGATGATGGACCGCCCCCCGTTCTTCTGTAACAGACGCACGAGCCTACTGCAGGTACTTTTGTGCAACCACCACAAAAAACGATGCCACCTCCAACTCTAGTAGTCATACCACCGCTGTATCAAATTTCGTGGATACCACACCGTTCTGTGTTGAGGAATTGGACACGGTCGTTTGTTCATTGATTGTTGTGATACGCCACAGCTTGTGCTTTGAGCTTGATGAGTTCGGACATATGCATGCATGCACATCTCACGAAACAGTTGCTTCTTCACGGACCTGCAAGTTTGTCTACTGTAAAAATACTGTCAACGATGCTGTATAGATTGAAGGTCTTCACCCACCACCGTTCCTTTCAGGGTGGTAATGCTGAGCTGATGGCGAGGGCGCCTGGCGCCTGAGCCTTGATACCTTGTATATGTTGCATGATTTCCTTCACATATTTTTGCGTTAGCAACCTCCTAGCTCTCTTGGCTGGCCGTCTGTTGTTTTTTTGTGTCTTTCTCCTGTCTGCATGTCACATCGTATAACTTGCTTTTTGCGCTACGCATCTCTCTGGGTTCGCCTGTTGTCCGTCTGTATGACCCCGGCCGGTGCGTCCCAAACACCGCCACACGCCACTATACTTCCAAAAGACAGAGAGAGGTAGCCTGTAGCTGAAAGAAGAAACTAACCCAAATGACACTATCCACGAGGTCAATTCGTCGGAAATCCTCCAAGGCGTCGCCGCAACCACCCGTCGTGCCATCACGCACACTTGGCCTGATTCTTGCCCATGTTCATGCACAATAATATCAATCGTTGAAAAGGAAGCGTGCGTCGAAGTACCCCGAGAATTGTTGAGGTAGAAGTCATGTCTCACTTCGTCAAGGTTGAACACATTACGTCTCAGGCTAACATACCCAGGCAGGGACCTCTTTCTACCGCCAATAACTTCCACTACACGTTTTCCCTCCGACGATATTATTTGTTTTCTCTACTTTGTCCCCAGGTAACTCTCCTCGCTCCCTCTGCCCAACTCTGTAGTCAGTGCCTACATGAAACATTTTTCCTATCAGTCCACTATGTTGGCATTCCTCTTGCATCGCCCTTGGTATGTTACATCTTCATTTGGAAGAAGGCATGTAGGAGACTCCCACACCACCCTACCGTCCAGTCCCGTGGTCCCGTGTCCCCCCCTGGCCGCCTCTTCCACCCGTCCCGGCTAAGCTCTAACCCCAACAACGCTACCACGTGTTTCCAGCGCGATGCTCTCCCATCCGTGGCGCGTGTTGGACCCCGAAGAGGCTGACCTTTTCTACGTGCCCATCTACCCGGTACTGAGCTTTAAGCTGGCGACAAGCAGGTTTGTTTGAGTACACTCTTGTGCTTTGCATTGGTTCCCTCCTCTCAGTTTATTGTTCAACCGTCGCCCCTCGTGTCCAACTCTGCTGTTACTTCGCCTTCATCTCTGTTTGGTGTGTAGAGATGCATGGTTAGAACCCGTGGGCCTAGTTACACGGATTTTGGTCAAGTTGTCCTGGTACAACTGAACAGGGATGACCCTAAGGTTAGGGCCGAAGTCACCACAGCCCTAGATCCGAACATGTCTGCCGCTCTCGATCTAAAATCCATAGATCAGCTCTTGCCATCCCACAGCTCCCACACACGCGAGAGACATCACGCGCAAAGCATGGTAGACATCAGTGGCGGCAGCTTTGCTATCCCCGTGGCAGGTGATGGGAGCCCTAGCCCCTGGCCGGCGCGGCTGACACCACGTACATGTTACATGATTGTTCGGTATCTGTTTTCCGGTAGTCTTTACCGTTGGTACGTTTGTTTTGCGAAATATGAATATGGTGCAGGCGGGCTGTCAGCGGAGGTGTGGGGGGGAATTCATGTCGCACAGGACGGTGCTGCATATATTCTTGCGAACACTTGCGTGGAATAGTCGATGATAGATGACCTCTGCCTTAGTGATCATAAGAGGTTTGATCGACATTGACGCAGGTTTTGACATGGTAGGGTCGTGTACAGCGCATTATTATGGGGGAGGGTGTGTAACTCCAGTGATCTGCGGTTCTTGAAAAAGTTACTGAGTCTATTGTAGGATACGTGAAAGCCGGGTTGCTTACACAAGGCATGTTTAAGTGAGTGTGAATTGCGCACGTTTACACGTATGCGTGGCAGGAGAAAGCAAGTGGGGCGAGTTACCATCTGCATGGCGAGCGTTGCTTGTATGTATTCGAGGGTTTGGGGTCGAGACCCTTGATGGCATCAAACGTGTTGTTGCGTAGCTATCAGGAGCACCTCATCCGCTCAAGGTACGTGTAAAATATCGTCACAGGCAGCACACAATGTGCCCCCCATAAGTGGCTGGCGTGCAGTGTGCTCGTAGCCCCAACAGGATCAAAATTGTGATTCTTTTTCCGGCCCTTGCGGGCGTGAGGTAGGTAGGTGTGCGGGATGGATTTTGCTCCAAGTACTAGAAAATGACAAATCGTGCTAGAGTTTCTTGTTGTTGTGCAGGTAGAGATTGTGCGTCGTCATTCTGTACACGTTGAGGTAGACGAGAATTTCGGCTTTTTGGGTGCACGTTAAGGTTGGCACGTTGCAATTTTAAGCTAGTTTTTGGTGTTTGTTGGTTAGGGTTACACAGATCGCATTTATTGAGTTTTCTGGGTTCCCCTCTACAATACTTGTCACTTCATGGACTACTCCGTGGAATGCCATAGAGGTCAAAGGAAGCCGTTCGTGAAAATATGCCTAACAATGGGGTGGACTACTTTGCCACAGGTACACAGAATTCATGAATTTTCAAGGTGAAAATCATGGTTTTCCATGGAGTTCTGTTTATGTGGGTTGATGCTGTGTACAGCAGTAGTTTGGTGTCGACCTATTTTTCGAAAAAAATTCGGAATGTAGTGGGGATGTAGACCGATGGTAATTCCATTAACACGGCGCCGGCAGTGCAGTGCCGACACCACAAAGCGTGACAATTCGTCTTGGGTTAGGTGCTTTACTGTGAGGTGCAATTATTTTGGTCTGTAGGATTAGTTAATGATTTCTTGCCGTTTCCACTGGAGTCTGAAATGTGTTCCCTCTGCATTCACACACATTATATATTTTTTCTCCCCTCGTTGGACTCTGTCGTCTGCCCCTCTGGCCCCTATCCTCCACTTCTACTAGCTAGACGACCCGACCGGGGTCACACAGAAAGGGGGGGTTGGACCCCCTCCTGCGGTTCCTGCCTGAGATATTTTGTCGCGAGAAGGGTACAGCAATACCTCCCCTCGCGACTTACAAAGTCGATGATCGTTTACTAACAACGAACTCTGCAGCGCGTCGTTTTCATCCTAGACCAGGATTTATTTAGTGAGATAAAACTCACTCTGCCGGGACTTGAACCCATGACCTGGCCCTTAGCAGGCTGCGAGGGTACCCACTAGACCACCGGGGCGACCGGCATGTATATGTATCTTGCTGTCTGTGCTCTTGGGTGGTTATCATGTTTTGCATCACCCACTGAACACCCTTGCCTTTACACCATAATACTTTCGGTCATGAACAACGCTCGGTAACTAACCGCATGCGATACTCGTCGAGTCGCCATCCCAAGTCATTTATTTCTTCATTGCAGCACCATACATCTCGAACTACGTCGCAGGTGTGGGGGCTTGACGCACAACGAACTCATGGACGCCTCGGTGGAATACCTGTCCTCGTCCAGCCCCTTCTTCAATCGCTTCGGCGGCGCCGACCACATTCTCATGTGCGCCTGGTGGAAATGCGGAGAGGCGCTGGGTCCGAAACACCGTATGCTGCTTCGCCGCGCGGTCGTCGGCATCAACGAGAGGTTGCTTCGGTGGACCAGGTGGGCACGGCGGTGTCTTGCTCTGACTGGTTGTTGGCCGTTTATCTCGCGTCGGACACAGTGGTGAGAAAAAGGAAGCGGGAGTACTTCATGAATGCCCATTTTTCTGCCGTGACGAGCTTGCAGAGACCCGTCGAGCGTCGAGCTGTTCACCCGCACATATGAAAACGTAACACGAGAATCTCGATGTACGAGCGTGCCGTGCCGTTGCTCGACTCGTCGAGAAAATGTTTGCTATCGGTCTCCGTGTGTCCTCCGCACCAGATGGGGCTGCGGAAGGAGCAAGATGGTCACCGTGCCTTACACGGCGAACAGCGTCCTCACTACAAGCGACATGATCGGGGGGCGCACGGCTGAAGACCGAGATATTCCGTTCTTTTTCGTTGGCACGGCGCGCCACCGCCCGGAGCGCAAAAACCTTGACGTACGTACTCACCCCACGAAAATGAGAAGGCTCCCGCAGGAATACCTAGGGTCCGCATGTATGTACCAAAGATCAACGAATTCCCCTGCGTCTTGCTTTTGGTGCACACGCCACTTTCGTGTGTGAGATGTGAGCATTGCACACTGTATTTATATTTGTATATTCGTCGTTGCAACAACGTCTTGGCTCACTGTCTCCGGCCCTACGTCCCCACTGTACATTTCCACGGCATTTGGTTTTTTGGTTCCCATTTTCTTGCCAGAGAGAAATCGAGAGATTGCGACAGAGAGATGCGGCTGCCTCTGTTGCTACTGCTGTATGCTTTGCTTGTCCGCGTTTTGGAAAGTGAGCGCGCCCGCCGCAGTCGTGGGTCTCTACCACCCAAGAATGCTTACAAGTTGGTGGTTGCGTTCAGTGTGAGGCATTCGTGACATTGTTGCAGAACGTGGTAATGAATAATTTTCCTCTCACTTGTCCACCACACCAGGGTGAACCCGTCGTTGATACCCAAATGTCGTAGAATTTGATTCGATTATAATGGATCGTAGCACTCTTTGTGTGCACTACATATTTCCAGGTAGTGGCGGACATTGCTAAGGGCAGTGTCGTGATACTTGATGACCTTGCATGGGAGTGGGGCATGAACTCGACGGAGTACGCAGAACACATGGCCCGCAGCAGGTGCGACTGCGACTGCTGATACGTCCAACGTTGATGACAAATATGTGCTTCGTTGAACGCAATGCAGACAGCGCCTACAATAGCCTGATTCTGTGTAGTGAATCGTGAGTTGTCTATTCGCGAGCGAACGATACCTCTGGCGATGACGTAGACCAATAACTTCCAAGTGGTCCAAAGTGGGCAGACTTCCGTGCGATATTTCGATCATCCCCATATTGTCACGATTCTACGAACGGCTTAGTACCGGATTTGTGACAGGGACTTCATGTACCGCGAGACGGTTCCCTTTAGCCCGACCATCGCTTCTCGCACAAGCCCTGAAGCCGCCCAACATACCTGCTCCAGAGCTATGGGCGATGTCTACTGCTGTTGATATCGTGTCTGTCGTTCGCTTGCCGGGACGCACTTGACAACGTACACCCCTCGGAATGAAAAATCACGAATCTTCGACCGAACGGGTGCGTGGGTTGGCGGACGCCGAGCAGGTTCTGCTTCTCTCCACGCGGAGACACGGAATCGAGCCGCCGCCTGTTCGACGCCATTGCGGCGGGGTGCACACCGATCGTCACCGAGGCTACGGTGGCCGTGCTCCCATTTTCGCAGTGAGCCCTCCCCCTGGTATTGTGACACGAGTGACATTCTGTGCTCGATGCACAGTTGTGGTGATGCGGGAACGCGGGACCGTGGAGACAGTATGAAGTTTCCGTCCCTTCGTTCCGTGTGAATGTTATGTAACGATCAAGACAAATAGCACTGTGGGGGTAAGGCTTGCTTTGACACAGAGGACCGGGACCTCAGCACTGTTCCTGGCCATGTGTTGGCCACCACGATCCGAACTGGAATTCGTGTGCGGAAAAATTGTTTGACTCGTCCCTTCGTCGCGCACACTGTCCAAAGTGTTGATGCACATACAGCATGGATCACTGATTACCTTGCCGGTGTAGACGGGAGGCGATTTACTGAAACCTGGCGACCAGGTGTAGATACAATTTAGGGGTTCGCTAGCAATGCCTCACCAAATACTTTCGTCGAGTTTTTGTTATCGTTGCTGTTGACTTCGCCGATGCCGTCTTGTATTTTGGCGCTGTTTTCGTGTGTACCTTTCTCTTTCGTGGGGGGGGCGTGCATCAGGACTGCGCTCAACTACTCGGACTTTGCTGTGGTGGTTGACTCGGCTGGCTTCCGCACGCGGGAATCCGTTAAGGGTATCGTTCGAGAAGTGCTCTCGAGGTGAGGATGCGTGTTGTCGCGTTTGACATTCGGTGTCGGCGAAGCCTTTTCATGCGGATACTTCGTCGGTCTTTACCGGGTTGATGCGGTGTGGGTGCCAGATTCATTTCCGACCACAATCTACCGTTCAAAGGCCGGTGGGTGGTGTGGGTACGCCCCTAGGGCATATTATTTCTCCCAAACCAGGGTACTCCTTGCGACATTTTCGGCGTTGCCGGTCTGCCGTAGATTGGGTAAGATATCACCCCCTTGACCGATTTCCAAAGCTTGATTAATCGGCTGAAAAAGCAGTGACGGTGCGGAAAATGGCGGAGTTGAACCGGCCTGTTGAGAGAGCTTTCTGAACACATGTCGTGTGCTTCCGGCATCCTTCTGATCTTGGTCTTACCGAGCTTTGGAAATCAGACCAGGGGGTGTGGTACCTAATGCAAATGTGATATGGACCAAAAAACGCATCTGTAAGAAAGGCCGTTTGCCATTCTTTTCTGTGGACGATCTAACCGAAAGATTTCAAACAAGAATTCGGCAAACGATTCCTCTCGTCAAGAGCTAGCTGACGGGCTTTTTTGTTTTCCTAGCAAATAAACGAAATTTTCGCGAGAAAAGGCACGCTTTGTCCAACTTGGCACTGGCGCATCGCGAAAAGGGGTTCAACCGGCATATGGGGCACCTGGCACATGGAACGCTCTTGCGTATGTTTTCAGTTTTGTCATCATCAAAACGCTTTTGTTCCATCCCTTATAGTCCTCCAACCTTGGCTGTCCCGCCTGTCACAGCGGCCAACTACTTACTGCACGAAAGACACTTACGAGCGACACACACGAACATTTCTTGTTTTGTGTTAACTTATCTGCTATAGGTCGGGCCTTAGGGGTAGGAGTTCGTGACGAGGGACACCCACGATAACATGCGGGGTGTGGGTATGGGTGATTCTGTCCAGCGTGCGGCATACAAGTACGAATATAGAAACGGTTACAAAGATTTTTACATTAGATGGATGAGGATTTCGGTCATATTATCTGTCGAGGAAAACTGTTACAACGTAGTCAGGCACAGTTTACCATAGGTTCGACTGCGGCAACTAGCCTTCCGTAGACATAACACAGAAAGAAGAGATTGTACTCAGCAGAGAATATGAGCACAGAGTTGTAGCGGAGATAATTTGGCAGGCGAGACTGTAGTTGTTTTATTGTTCCGAACCCCGAAATTCCGGTACTCGGGCCATTACCCCGGAGACCCTCGGAACCTGCTGTGTTTTTGCTGCTTGTTTCTGTTTTGTTTTGTTGTTGAGATGAGACACAAGCGCGCCTACGCCCCTTGTGCTCACTCTCATCTAGCACCCATCAAAGCCTGACCAGGGAGTCAGTTGATAAGAAAATCTATCTACATTTCTCTTTCCAGAGCTCGCTCGGGCCTACCGATCTCACAGCAGTGTAGACCAA